ACCAGACCTAAATTGTCCATCAAATCAAAGAAAACTTTTGGTAATTTGCCTTGAGTGATTTTAATATTTTTCTCAGAAGTTCTGTCCGGTTGTGGAGAAGTCACTTCATTCCAATCCCCCACCAAACACCAATTTTCATAAAAGAAACCTATTAGTCTCTACATAAGTCCTTTATAGAACAGTACTTTATCCTCATTTGAGGCATAAATCCCCGGTGTCAAAGTCTTAATCCCATGCAAATTAACTTCCACCCCAACAAATCTACCAGTGCTCATCAGTCAGTACAAGTTCTGGTTTTAATTGAGAATTTATGTACAAAACAACTCCATTACTTTTTTCTTTTCTCTTTTCTTTTCTTTTCTTTTTTTTGTTCCTGCTGAAATACATTCTTCACCCACATTTTTATAAATTAAATATTTTATATCCTTTTTTCTAATATGTGTCCCTTGAAGGCAAATTGTATCTTGTTTCAATTTTTTTTTCAAATAATGACTTTTTTTTCTCTTTTAAGGGTATTTGCTCTATTTATATTCCATTTATATTAAGCATTGGTAATCCATTAATCAAGCCAAAAATTTTAAAAAATCAATACCTGTAGTGCCTAGTTCAGTAGCATGGGCGGCATATAAATTTGATTAATAACATAAATAAATAAAAAGATAAATAAATATTCTAATTTTTAAATTTGCCCTGCTGTGTAATGTGTAGCATATATGGGTGCCATTCTTTCTTACATTTGGTTGAACTTCTATTATGGATATATACTATCAATTTTGCCATTGCTGCATATCCTCCAATTTTGGTCTCCCAATCTGTAAAGTTCCTCTTTCCCAATGTTGTGCCAAATTTGTTCTTACAGCTGTCAGCATAGATCTTAGTAAATTGTGACGTTTTTCATTTATGTTTTCTGGAATGATACCTAGTCTGACTATTTGTGGTTTCAGTTCAAATTTTATTTTTAGGACTTTTCTAAATATTTGGATGTATTTCTTTCCAATACTTTTAAGTTTTTTTTAAACAACTACCATGTATGATAAAACGTTCCTTCTTTGCTATGGTATTTATAATAATCTTTTTTTAATTTTTTATCATCCCTAGGGGAGCAAAGCTGTGTGTTGTGAAGACCAAAAGAAAAGAGAGACAAGCAGAGACTCTCACACAAGACTATATTATAACACGTAGGTTCCTTTTGAATGTTTAATAAGTGTAGAATGTTTCGTGTCAATGTATAAAGACCCTAATCCAAAGGGGCATGAAATACTTTTTTAAAAGAACTAAAGTCTTGCTTATCAGCTGTTTGGCTGAGGAGAGGGGAGTGGGCAGCTTTCTTCAGCCCCATGTACCACTCCTTGGAAGGTAGTTACTGTGTGCTAAGCTTTTAAAAGGGACTTTGCTCTTTTAAACAGAAAAGTCATCCCAAACAGAAGACCAGAGAATGGAATCTTCTGCAGAACCTTTAGCCCCATCCTTAGGGCCGGCTGCCAAATCTTGCTGGAACACTTTACTACACCAAACAAAGGAGACCATACATGGGATCCTGGTTTTGCAGATCCTTTAAAGGTGCAGTGTTTTCCCTGCTGGGTATTGCCTTAAATATGAGACATAGTACGTAAATTGATTTTTTTCTCAAAAAAGGCTGGCTCAAAGAAGGGATTCCTCTCCTCCCTCCACTTCTGGGGGCTTGCTCGCAGCAGTAGCTAATCGCTTTAGCATGTTGTTGTGCTTGTACCCCCGAACTCTGATAGGTATCCTTCCCTTGTTTTTTGTCTTTTGATCTTCAGAATTAAAGCAGAATCACAATAATCTAGGAAGATCTTTAAGGGATTTATTGGTTTCACTGCCATCACCAAATCTTTTCCTAACTTGAACATTCTTTTGTTTTTCTCTTCTATTTGTGTGTCTGTGGGGGGTGTATACACACAAATGTGAGCAATAATAGGACTTGGAATACGTGTGAAGTACAGAACAAAATTCCTCTTTTTTTTAACATATGAAGGGGTGGGGTGTTTTTTGTTTGTTTTTTTCTGTTTTGTTGGTGCTCAAGTCAGTTTGACTCTTGGCAGCTACCTGTAGAAGACCCTGCAGTTTTCTTGGCAATGTTTTCAGAAATGGTTTTTGCTGTTGCCTTCTTCCTAGAGCTGAGAGAAAGTGACTGGCCCAAAGTCCTCAGCTGACTTTGCAGCTAAGGCAGGACCAGAACTCATGGTCTCCCAGTTTCTAGTTTGGTGTCCTTAATGACTATGCCAAACTGGTTTTTCTGACTTTTACTAATATAAAGGTTGTGAAGAGGTTCCCTTAAAATTACAATTTAGGTTAGCTTCTTGAGGATATTTTCCTTACTCTCACAGCAAGGAATTACCCTTAGTAATTTCTATTGTACAAAGTAACTCCCTCAAAGTTGGAGGCATTCTATACTAGTCCCATGCCTAGGCATTATGCCTGGTTTAATCCTGGCTAGTTAACTGAATATTCTACATCTAGAAAACTCTGAGATTACTGACCAGTCCAGAATGTCCCTTCACAATCTCTGTGTGGTTGGCAAAACAAAATGATGGACATGATAACATTTAAAGCTCTCTGCTTTTAAATATGATTTTTTCTTTTTATGCACTTGAAGCTCATGCACTTCCAATGTTCCGTGAACCACGTCAGCGAAGTACAAGAAAGCAGTTGGAAAAGGATAGAATGGATCCTGTGAAATCTCACAAACCAGAACCTCCAGTAGCAGGACCAGGTAACCAGATTTTTTTAATCTGCTGTCAGCAAAACACTGCAAAAGCCATTAGATCAGTGTTTCTCAACCTTGGCAATTTGGCTGAGGAACTCTAGGAGTTGAAGTCCACACATCTTCAAGTTGCCAAGGTTGAGAAACATTGCATTAGATGCTTATTTCATAAAATCATAGCATGCAAGGGTTGGAAAGGACCTTGGAGATTACCTAATCCAGCTCTCTGCCCAGTATAAAACTCTGCTACTGTAGCACCCCGGACAGATGGCCATCCAACTTTTATTCCAACGACTACTGCAAAAGAGTCCACTATCTTCCTTCTGGAGGGCAGCCTGCTCTGCTGTGGCATAGTTGTTAATGTTATAAACATTTTCCTGATGCTCATCTGTTCTAATTTATGTTCCAGTTTAATCCCATTGTTTCTAGTCTTGTCTTCTGGAACAACTCTGAACAATCCTGCCCCGTCTAGTTTACTTACTTACTTATTTATTTAATTGGTGTATATGCCACTTCATTTCCAAAGACTTGGAGCAGCTTACAGGTAGCATCACAAACATAAAATATACTTTATTTCTATAGTAAATAATATTCTCATTATAGTTATAAACTTGAAATCTTCTACATGACAGCCTTTCAAATTCTTGAATGCAGCTATCATGTGTCCCTTAAAATTACAATTTCTCTTCTCCACACTAAACTTACCCAGTTCCTCCACTCATTCCTTATACATTTTTCCTTCCATGCTCCTTATCATCTTGGTTGCTGTCCTCTGACCATGCTCTAGTTTATCCATGTCCTTCCTAAAATGGGATGCCCAGAAATGAACAGAATATCCTAGGTGCAATCTAACCAAGACAGGTTGAGAGGGATGATGACTTTGACTATGGAAGATCAAGTCAGCTTTATAAAAGCAAGCATAAACTACAGGTTAAAAGTTTGAAGATGCTGATGTACCAGAATAGCCCCTTTTTATTTTTATGTATATGTATCTCCTTGCTCAATGTCTGTCCTGTTTGCTCTTACCATTTTACACAGCTGTTTATTTCTTCTTCTTCTTAGGCCGTGGTGGTCGAGTTGGGACTCATGGCGGTACTCTGTCTTCATACATCGTGAAGAATATTGCATTGGACAAAACCGATGACAGCAATCCTCGAGAGGCGATTTTGCGGCATGCAAAGGAAGCAGAGGAAAGTCCCTACTGGGTGGCTCCAGCATATTCTAAGTAAACAAACTTTTGAAAGCGGGGATTGGGGGCAACTCATAGATAATATGCCTTAAAACTCTGGTGAACCTGAATATAAGCAAAAGACCTATTTAAAAACACCATTCTCAGACTTTTTTCAGATTGTGGTAACTTATGCAAAAAATTGTAAAGGTATCAGTAGGTTGTACTATAAAATGTTTTTATATATTTTAGTTAATTTCTCCATGAGCACACATTTGTTTTTGCAAAGGTGGGAATGTTACACATGTCATAACCATTTTTTCCTGTAGAAGTTTTAGGGTAATACGTTGATCTGTTGTTGATTGTCCTGCCCTGAAGCCCACTTGTTCATCATCTAAGACATGCTCTTGTTCTACTAATCAGTGAGTTTCTCACACAGATGTTTAGGTACAGTTTATTAATAACTCTTAAAAGACTAGTTGGATGGAAAGTACTAGGATCAGATCTATCCCCTTTCTTAAAGATCGGGACTATGATAGAACAGCCCCAATCTTTGGCCATCTAGATAGAGGGATCGGTATGTGAGAAGAGACAGGTCAACCCAGGAGTCCACCGTTCTACATTAGCTTTTATTAGCTATGCAGGAACCAGATCTCCATCCGCTGCCTTCCAGTTTCTGAAGTTGAAATTGGAAGGCAATTAGAAAGAGAGTTTACAGTTAATTTCTGGAGGTAAAACTCATTTAATGCAGCAATAAAAAGGCTACTAAAATATTCAACTCATTTAGCAGGAGGAATTATGCAGCTCATTCTAGCTTCAGTTTGTAATTATATTTCACTGATTATTAGATTTCATTCCTAACACATGGAATATAATCAGCAGGAGAACTTAAAAACATAGTCATAATTCAGAAGGGTCATTGTTTCAAGAGGGCAGTTCACATTACAGTTTCTTGTTAACAACGTAGCTGGGTGAGAATTAGGCAGGAGGCAAGTCTAATGTGCTCATGTACATATCAAATGACAATGTTTGGATCAGAAAAGTTAGAGCAATAACTAGTATTGTACTTCACACTGACCTGCAATGCGATGGCAAAGAAGCTATTATAATTGTAGCACTGTATAACAGGCTTGGATACTAAAGTCGTATAAACTACACACAAGAAAAGCATAGGCAAGTTGTTGTGAGCATATTTCAAATCCTACCAATCAAAAGCAGAGCTTTAGCTACACCAGTGACTGTTCTGAGTTAATCCCTATTAGAAGAGAAGAATGGGAAGGTAGGGGTTGGTGAGGATGGAAAAGAAGTTAGAAACAAGGGGAAAGCACAAGATGGAATTAGGGAAGAACAAGTTAGGATCAGAGCCATCTAATAGTAAAAGTAGTGGTCATCTGAATGCTAAAAATTGGATTAAGCACATTATAAGGCCATTCCTGTTATGAATTATTTTCCCCTTTAGCTAAATACATAAATGCATACATTAAAAATAAGTAAATATAGACAAATTAAAATTCATAAGGAATTTTCAGCCTTCCTTTTCTCCAGGCTTGTAAAATGTAAAGGTAAAGAGCAGGAAAGTTGCATTTACCTTTGCATATTAATTTATAAATAATCAAAGACACTTTCCTTTGCATGGGCATGCTTACTGTCCTGGAGCAAGTTTTTACTTTTGTAAAAGAATCCTATCAAGTGAGCTTTAATAATTAATGAGAAATTAGCCTGCAAAGTTAATTATAAGGCCCTTGAACTGATAAGCTCCTCTGAAATAAGTCAGGAATGAGAATAAGATCTCTTGCTCAAATCTTACATGTACAGGTGGAGCAGTACTTGTGTTTCCTTTAAAGGATAGTCATGCCAGCCACCCAGGAACAGACAACTGGATTTAGTCATAGGCCACTCCGCAACCTAGTGAGTCCCAAAATTTAGCAACATGCACAAACACACACGTACAGCTTGACACGGCCACTTTGACACCTTGTCCCAGTCTTCTGAGCGAGGATGTTCTTTGTTTAGTGGCAAGCTTCAGGCATAGTAAAGTGTCTTCTATGCATGGAGCAAGATTGCAGTATTGTTGCATATTGTCTGTCTGTCTGTCTGTCTGTCTGTCTGTCTGTCTGTCTGTCTGTCTCCTCTATCTATCTATCTATCTATCTATCTATCTATCTATCTATCTATCTATCTATCTATCAATCTCCCCTAAAGGCTCTTTGGAGAATGGGTGGTAATAGATGCAGCTATTATTTGGTTCTTCAGCATGACCAATCTCTGTAAAAAATTAAAAGAAAGAAAAGATGTTAGCACCACTACCTGGTACTAGAATAAAGTGTTGGGGAAACAGGCAGAGCACAGGAATGGGATCTGGGTAGGAAATGAAAATGGGGGATAGAACACTCAAAAATACTACAAGGCTCCCTCAATCCTGGCACCATCCCTCAAGCTACCCATGTGCCTGTACAAAGGTGGAAGAGGTTTTATGATGAATCCATCCGTTCACCCTGAGAACTATGTCTATACCAAGTTGCTATAAAGAGAGAAACTAGAATTAATACAGTAGGGATTATATGCTTCTTTGCTCTGGATGGGATTTTTTTTTAATTGTATACTGGAGAACCTGCACATAGAAAGTTGTTTCCATGTCTTGATTATCTTTTTGTTGGATCTGGTAGTGTATAAACATGGTACAGGATGTTTAACTGAAAACTAGTAGCAGTTGAATAGCAATGTCAGGATGTGGTCCTTACTGGCTTCTGGGTGAGGTTCCATGGTGAACTAAACATCCCTGAAGGAGCACGGATGGCATTGTGGCCAAGATTGGCAGCCAGCTGGCGAATTCTGGCCAGTGAAGTCTCTCCAGATAAAGAGAGATTGTGAGATCACCCACCTGCATTCTGGACAGCTGCTCCTCATGAGGAGACCACAGGAACTGAGGTTTTTGTGGTCGACTTGTGAGTTGAGCAGCTGGGTGTTGAGGGGTTTCAGTCAGGCTCACAACCACAATGCAGCCTGTAATGCAGGGTTCCTCAACCTTGGCAACTTTAAGACGGGTGGACTTCAACTCCCAGAATTCCCCAGCCAGCAAGGGGAATCTCAATTCAAGATCTCTGAATACCGCGTAAGAAAAAAGAGTACTTCTTTCTGATTGATCGACTTAAACAGAAAAAGGATTGGATGAACTGGAAGGAGTGATTTTTTACTTTCAAACAGCAGAGGTTTCAACTGAATTCTGTGCAGAAAGCAAGAAAATTTCTAGAAATATTCAAAGAAGAATTGGAGATAATACAAATGGAAGTGACAGATCAGACCACACAGAAGCCTCCACAGGTGCAACAAGAAGAAGATAGGAATGAAACTGAATTACTGGTATTGACTTTTCTAAATTTTTGGCCTGATTATGGATTACAAATGTTTAACATGGAATATAAATGAAGCCAAAGCTCCTCAAAAGAGAAAAAAAATATTTCATTATTTGAACAAATTAAAACAAGATTTAATTTGCTTACAGGAAACATATATTCAAAAAAAAGGATATAAAATATTTGACTGGGTCAAAAATTTGGGTGAAGAATTTATCTCAGCAGGAAAAAAAAAAAAAAAAGAAATGGAGTTTTTTGTATGTAAACCCCCAACTACAACCAGAACTTATATTGACTGATAAGTATGGTCGATATGTTAGGGTGGAAGTTAATTTGCATGGTGTTAAGACTCTGATATTGGGAATGTGTGCCCCAAATGAAGATAAAGCAATGTTGTATAAAGGACTAATGGACAGATTATTGGGCTTTTCTTATGAAAATTGGTGTTTAATGGGAGATTGGAATGGAGGGATACCCCACAAGTAGACAGAGCTTCTGAGAAAAATATTAAAATTACACGAAGTAAACTACCAAACTTTTTTAATCTGATGGACATTTTAGAACTTGTTGATGCGTGGAGGCATAAAAGTGGCAATTCAAGAGAGTATACTTATTTTTATGAAAGACGTAGATCTTTTTCGAGAATAGACATGATTTGGATTTCGAAGAATTTGACTACTAAGGTTCATAAAGTAGAGATATTACCAAAGACTTTTTCAGGCCATAATCCAGTGAGTTTGGTTTTTAAATGGAAACCCAGTTCTTTTAGGTGGAGGTTAAATGATTTTTTTTTTCCTAGCGTTTTCCTGCAGGCGCAGGGTCTGGTTTTTTCGGAACAGCCACTTTAGTTTGTATTAATTTTATTCTTGTATTTAAAATGCTCTCTGTGTGTGTCTGTGTGTCTGTGTGTGTGTAAAGGATGTGGTCCTTATCAAATTTGCTTAATGAAAGCAATTAGCTCAGGATAAGAGCAGAATCTTCTGTTTAATGAATATGGCAGATTGTGCTAAAAGAACTGTAATCCTATTTAGTACTTGTTGTCCTTTAGATGTTGTAAAAACATTGCTAATCCTAAGCCAAAAGTATGCTGCTTTTCCTGTGTAACTTCCATGCTGATTGTTCAACAGTAATGATTTAGTTTTTTGTAATGAACTTTTTATGGTTGAGTACTAATTTCTAAGCTATAGTTGAAGTGTTGAGTAAAATGGAAAATGTCTCTGGAATAAAAAACAGATGTAGTTTGCTATGTGTTCTTTTCTTTTTCATTTTTTAAATGTCTAGTATGATGTAAACTTTGTATTATATGCAATGACATCTTCATCGGGCTTTAAGTGTCTTGAGCTTTTCAGTTGGATTCAGTTTATGTTCACATGAAAATAGATATTAGGGTAGTGTGCAAATGTTCATCTAAAGGAGATTTTCTACTTGCATAAGCGTAATGATAAGATGTATTTTCTTTCTTACTATTTTCTGTCAGTTGCCAAAATACAAGATCCTAGAAATATGTTAATAAATGTTGTGAGATATGTACTTGTCTTTAACGTATGTTTTCATCTGTCGCCTTAATTATATTCCGTGTAAAATGCAGTGCTCAGCAGATGAGGGTAGAAATTTCTTACTCTGTCAGCTGTGGAATGATGGGATATTTATTTGGGATGAGGGTTTTTTTTCATTTTAAGGGCAAACATGAACACTTCTGCAGAGCTCCTGTTTAATCTTTTTTTTTTTTAATGCTTTTTTAGAACCCAGCCAAAAACAGTTTTTGCAGAAGTAGAATCGGATGAAGATGAAACAGATGACAAGCCAGAGTGGAAAAAACGTAAAATTTGAAGAATTTCAATTGGAGGAGCTTCACAAGGGATTTGGGACAAAAATGAATTCTTTTTCCTTATGCAAAAGAAGTCAAATTACTGCAAGCTTTTATGCACAGGAATGTTTCACCCCTTTGAAAGACTTTAATTGCCATAAAGTGAAATAGAATTGTTTAGCATAAAGTCTGTATTTTATTAAATAACTAAAGTCTTAAATAAAAAATAAACATTGATTTCTTCAGAACCCTCTGTTTAAGTGTATGTATTTAGAAGAGTAGATTGTACTTAACTTTAAAAAAGCTCAATCCTCTTTTTCCCCTTAAATTATCTTTTAATGTGTTGATATATCACCTAAAAATTTTAAGGAAGTAGGCTACTATATGTTCGTGAATAATTTCTGCTCCATATTTGGATTTCATCATTTTTATGTTCCGTTATGAAAGCCGCAATATATGTTTATAATGTGAATTGTAAATGGTGTACAGAATCTTGTAGGGAGGGGCAGGCAAAACATTTCTAACTGGAAACAATATTAATTTTAAAACCAGTCATTGTTTCACAGAAAAATAAATTAGAAGAGGCTGGTGAAGAACAGAGGGAAGAGAAAAAAACCTGGTCCTTAGAGTCTGTCTTATCTCTTCCTTCTGAAAGTACATGTTTCTTCTTTGCTCTGGCTTCTAAATCAAAAATTCTACCCCATACTGGGGTTTCCTCACTATAGCCAAAGGATTCTGTGTACCCCTTAAATATCATCCTGCGCAGGTCCTCCTTCCCAGCCATCAAGGTACATAACTCTATGGAGCTGCAATCTCAGGACTGGAACCCGATTCTATTACCTTTGCTAGCCAGCATCAATCCCTCCTTTGATTCCTAGCTTGCCCCCAGGTGTTTATTGCCCTGTATTTAATGTAGCCTCCTTCAGAATTGCTGGAGTGGCTTCATTATCTTCTGCAGGACAGTGGTCACAACTGAGAGAACATCTGCACTGAGCATCTCTATTCTTAAAGTATAAAGGGTAGTAAATATTGCCAAAATGCAGGTTTAATGTTTTATAAAGTATGTGAGTCCTTTCTATGACACTGCATTTAACCCTGCTTTTATCTAAAAATCACTTGTAGTTTTTTTATATTTTATATTTTACTCTTGAATATATTTTATATTTTACTCTTGAATATACTATACTGTATATTGAATATACTGTAAAATATAAATCTTGATATTTTGCAATATACATTTTGAAGAACATACATGGTAGAAGATAGGAAGAATAATAGTGTCAGGTTCAGCCTGCACCGCACGCCTAGGAACTTGCCCAGTCGCGCTTTAGTCAATTTCACCGCTCGAGCGCCAGCGCAGAAAGAGGAAATGCGAAACCGCAAGCTAATGAATGTGCTCCGGAGAGGGCACACCGAGGACACTACGGGACATTGTGGGTTCGTTAGGACTTTCCACCTCCTGCGTGAACAGTTCTGG